ATTTTCATTTATTATATCATGAACTAAACAAATTATCTAGGGGTTTGATGTAGCCGAATCGAGAATGGTTTGATGATTTTATAATTTATTTCTTTGATTTTTTCACATATATTTAATTGTGTCATGATTTTAATACTTTCAATTACTTGATCAATAATTGAATGAGGCACTCAAGAGAGGGGAATTTAGGCGTGATCATAAGATTGACACAACATAGGTTTTATGGGTTTCGAGAGAAAGTGTAAAATCTGTGAAGCTTACTTCATAAAAGATTCGAAACTTTTATAAATTCTTGATTTTCAATTCGGAATAGAGATATTGGAATTGGAATCTATGATTATTTTCTAGCCGGCACTCGAGAGAGGGGAGAGGAATATATTAGGATTCTTCCTTTTAAATATGGGAAAATTAAATGGAATTATTGGAAATCATTAAATCATAATTGAAAGTTAGGTGAAATCAATTCCTAGGCCTTCTCATTTGTCCTAGGCCTTCTCATTTGATAATTTGTATTCTCCAATTTTGTCGCATCCAATTCACATTAAATTAGGTTAATTTATTCACTCATAAAACATTAAATCCATTTAATCATACGTTTGTCTAAATAAAGTAGAAATTGCACAATTATAGTACTTAGTGAAATTTAAATTACAATCCCTGTGGGTTCGACACTCTTTACTCTATTACTATATTACAAAACTTGACACCGTACACTTGCGATATAAAATCACGTTGCATAAATCGCGTGGCAATACCTCTTCAGTATCCAAAATTCTTTAGCAATCGCTTCCTTCAATATTGTATTAGGCTTCCACTTGTACATTCGTGGACTCTGAGCCGTTTTGTACCTACGGCGTCCAAACTTTTGCCCGATCTATGGAAATATTTCATATATCCAATACTGCAACATACTTACAGATAAATGTTGATATACATAATATATTTTTTTACAAAGAAATTATACGGAATACGGGAACAATTAGAATATGAACAACATACCTGAAATGCAAGTGGATAGCCTTGTATTGCATACTTACATTCCGTTTGTTGGTTCTGTTGTATCCTTACTATTTGTTCCAATTGCGACTCTTTCAATGAATTTAACAAAACGAAATATGCGTTACGGCCCCATGGATACGTAAGGAACTCATCAAAATGTTCAACCATTTCTAACATTCTATAATCAATATGTCTTGAAGTCAATTTCAACATACACTCCACCAACACAACTAGTCCCAACTTAAATTTACCTTTTTCAACCTCACACTTATGGAAAGTTTCAAAAAGCATTCTATTACTAATTCTTTTTGCCCCATTGAAGTATTGATCTCTAAGACGATCGTTACTATAGTCAATTTCAATGGATGATTCATGATAAGGTAGTCCAGTAATTAGGCAAAATTCTTGCATGCCGAACCTAGCAACGTGGTAATCTAACCGTACCCAAAATTCATTATTTTTGTCATAATGCGCAATTCACATTATAAATTCGTGTATCAATTTACTACTAAATTGTTCTTATTGTCCCCCGAACATAACTCCGTAAACAAATCCACAAAAAATTACTAAAAGTAAAGAACATTGTTGATTGACATCTATGAATTGTACAAAATCTTTAATGTATTCGCTATTTGGATACTTGACGATGGTAGCAGAAAACCATTGATCTGGAGAAAGAACGTATTCTAAAGACATTTGCGTAGATTACACAATAATGAATATTTTCAAACAAATATATTATTTTGTTTACAAAAACCCAATATACAAAATGAACGTAAAAAAAGTGTAAAATTGATCGTAAATAAAATTTTTAAAAAAATCTCTTTTTGTTTAAAAAACTACAACCTAAAACCTGAAAACAATAAAATAGAAAAAAAGAAGAAGAAGAACAAACGTCTCTTCGTGACAGTGTCACAATCCATGACACAAACGGAGACTGTCTCCGTGTCACGGAGACACAACGACACTTGCGTCGTTCGAAACGATTTCTTTCGACAAAATTATATTCTTGTGTCACGAAAACATTTTTTTCTTCGACAACTTACTATTAATTAACACAAATCTTGAATTCAAATTTTGATTTGCTCACCTTTTTCAATCCAATGAGTACCTTTTTGGAGTAAATGTGTGAGAAGCTTTCCAAGTAAATGTCTTGCCGAATGAATGTTGCCAATGAGATTGTAGTTAAAAAGTGTGGAGAGTAAATGAACGTGAAATGTGTGGATGGGGGAGTGAATGTGAGGATAATGAGTGATTGTGAGAAGGAGCCTCCACTTAAAAGTGTGCATGCATGTGAAAAGTCCTTGCTAATAGTGTGGAGATGATTGAATGTCAGTAACAAATTTGTTGTGTTATGAATAATTGAGTGAATGGTTTGGATGGATTATGTATGGAAATATATTCTCTCATTGTTGTGTTGTGAACTTTTTTTTTCCACATTCGGATATATATCAATGGTCTTTTTACACATCAATATTGTGACTTGTTGTTTTGCAATAATTGGAACGTTTCCACAAATTTTAATTTTCTTTAATTTATTAAAGCTAACCGAATTAATCAAAGTAATATGTATAGAGAGGTGTAATTGCATTACTAGGATCCAAACAACTCCCACATTTTGACCGTATTTGTGGTGTGTCACCATGTATGTATTGACATTTCATAGTATTCTCGACATTGGAAATATCGTTGTCGATGTTTGTAAACCAAATAACTCGATAGGTGACGTGCGTATCTCAATTCTCGAGGTTTTATTTCATGTCCCAAAGTTATATACATTTCACCTGGTGCTATTGTAATCCAGATATTTGCGTGCTAAAGAAAAAAATTATTAAAAAAAAAAACCAAGACCAAGTAAACAGAAAATCGAGGGGAAATTGGGAGAATAAATGGGGTAACATGTCAAATTTATGGTGTTGTGAAATGTAGGTATTGACTTCTTTTGGCGTGTTGGCGATAAAAAAAAATATTTCTTATTCTCATTTTTGTCACATTGATTGAAACAATTTTAAGGTAAGGACAAACAAGGGCAAAGATGAAAATTCCACAATTTTGAATTTGAATTGGAGAAGAAAATATGGGATTGGCCTCCATTGATGTGATAGAAAAAATACATTTTGACAATTAATGACTATCAAATGGGGGCTACATAAAACGTCTGATTGATATTGAACTTGAGAAAAAAATAAATTTTAAAAAATTGATATCAAATATGGGTATAGTATCATAGTTATCAGAAAGTTAATAAAAAAAATTTGAATTACATAAAATGTGTGATTGATATGGAATTTGAGAAGAAAATAAATTTTAAAAAATTGATATCAAATATGAGTATAGTCATCGTAGTTATTGCATTAAGAGAGTAAGTAGGTCAACAACTTTTAAACTGCTTATAATTTAAAATTGGTTTTTTGTATAATACCCATGCCTTGTCCATGCTACGAAGCTATTGCTCCAGCCAGGTGCGCGGAGCTCCTGCTTCGCACACCCGAATGAAGCTTTGCTATGAGTCAAATTCATCGTTTTAATATCTTTCATGATTTTGTATATATCTATCTAAAATCAACTAGCTTTATCTAAACTTCTTTGTCAATTCAAATCAAACAAAATTATTAAATTCTTCAAAATTCCATCAATTCACAAAAAAAATAAAAAAATTCACGAAAAGAAAAAATAAATAAAACACGATCTATTTTATTTTAGATTATACCTAAAACAATAGAACAAAAGTAACTACAATGCAAGTGGATATTTGAGAAACTGATCAACTCGTAATAATAGTATGTGCAATTGAGCAAATTATAATTCAAATTTTTTTGATTTTTGGAAAGAATGGAAAGAAGATGAATAAGAAGAATGAATGAATGGTAAAATGTATTTTTTTTAGGAACGTGTCGTTAAAAATAGAGAAATGTTGTGAAAAGAATAATGCTACTTGTATAAAAGGTATTATGTAATAACTTAAATACAGATGATGTGTCAAAAAGATATTTAATTTTTTTTTATTTGATTGAAAAAATTTTGATTAGATTATATCTCACCACATCATGTACATATAAATTATTATGTAAAGCCTCAGGGCACATTTTCAAGTGGTAAAAGGGGAGGGTGGAGAAATTCAGCTTTGCTTGAGGCTGTTGCGTCAAGGGTTCGAATCCTGAAATATGGATTTGGCTCTTGGGTAAGTACAAGTGTACAAGCAGCCTCTCACCCTGTATTCTTGGAGGCATAACCTGCGATTTACCTCCCTTACGATACTCCAGGGCAGAGGTGGTGGGGGACTCTTAAGGTTAGATTTTAACATTTTTTTTAAATTATTATGTAAAGTATTATACAACTTTTGTGTCAGGTTAACGAATTGATTTTCTCGAAGGCACAGCTGGCACAAAAGTTGAGCATACAACTCAATTAATCCAAACCGAACATTATTGGGTTGGTTATGCTAGGCTAAATGTGGGTCCCGCAGAAGTACATAGATTGAGGGGGAAAAAATACAAATATTATCATATTGCTTGAGTAACATTATTTTCATCAAAATATATTTTTTAACAGTGATTTGACTTTATTTTAATTATACATTATTTATTAAAATAATACTACATACAAATTCAAGACATTTTTTTATTTTTAATCACATATTTTTTCATCAATACACTCAAAAATGTATTTTTGTCTTTTTGGGCAAAAAGGGGCTCAAGCAACGACAAAACCAAAATATTTATTAAGGAAAAAATCCAAACCACCCCCCCATTACTGAGTCGTGTAACTCATTACATCAACTCGGGCGAGTCAATCCAAAAGTAAAATCTTTCTAAAGCACAAACAGAAGAAACACAAACTCGTTAGCAATCCGCGTGATGCAAAACCAACGAGTAAAAGGAGAGCACGAGGATTCAGACCTTTTCAAAATTCTCTCTCTCTCTCTTAAAGTCCGTTGAGGTTGCAGTCCACGTTTCAACGGACCCGACCTCATTCCCAATTATATATATATCCCCCTCACTAGCGGGCGCTACACGTTCAATTCCAATATTTCATTTTCTGTTAGAAGTTCCTTAAATTTTTCAGTTTTAGGTAGAATTTATCCGCGTTTGATTTGTTTATCTTTATTATCGTCTCGAAATCTTGGTTCCCTTTTTTACGGTAAACTTGGTGTAGATCAATTGTGTTAAGAACCAATGGCTCGTACCAAGCAAACTGCTCGTAAATCGACTGGTGGGAAAGCTCCCAGGAAGCAACTCGCCACCAAAGTTCGTTCATACTCTTGTTATAGATGCCTTTCTGGGTTTCAATAATTACAGTTTATGGATTTTCTATGATTGATTGTACAATTTAGGGCTTCTCAGAACTTTATAATATAGGGTTTTAATTCTTTGTAATTTAGGGGTTCGAATCTAGACTTATATTTTTGTGATTATCGTAGGCTGCCAGAAAGTCTGCTCCGACAACCGGCGGAGTCAAGAAACCCCACCGTTACCGTCCTGGGACTGTTGCACTCCGGTACGATTTCCCCCAATTTTTCTCATTATTAATTACTAGTATCTTCTCTAATTTCTAATGATTTTATGTTGAATTGATGTAGTGAAATTCGCAAATACCAAAAGAGCACTGAGCTGCTGATCAGGAAGCTACCATTCCAGCGTTTGGTCCGTGAAATTGCACAGGATCTCAAGACTGATTTGAGGTTTCAGAGCCACGCCGTGCTTGCCCTACAAGAGGCTGCTGAGGCTTACCTCGTGGGTCTCTTCGAGGACACTAACTTATGCGCCATCCATGCCAAGAGGGTTACCATCATGCCCAAAGATATCCAGCTCGCAAGGCGAATTCGTGGGGAGCGTGCTTAAGCAATTTTATTCATTAGTATTAGTGTAATGTAGTCTTCATGGTTTCCCCCTCCCCCGAGTATGACTTCTTGCATACTAGAACTTTAATTGATTTCATCTGATGGATAGAAAATATAGTCTTATGTTTGGGAATTTTTTTTTTGGTAGATTAATAAGTATCCTTTGTAGTACTTGTTCTGTTCTACATCTTTGATTTCATCTTGTTTTTAATGTTTATAATTTCTATTTGCTTTGATTATTTGATGTATTTTGATTTCTGCTACGTTTTGCAATTTCATTGTTTGGGGAAGTCATGAAAAAGGTTTGGTTTGTTGTCCTCGATCTGCTTGTTGGATAAAATTTTTATCGTGGATTAAGAGGGTGTTTGGTAGGAATTTTTATCTGAAAATGTATTTTTGAATAGTAAATTAATGGGAAATATGTGGTTGAAAAATAAGAAAAAGTTTTTGATTTACGTGTAATATTATTTTAATAGAAAATGTGTGGTTGAAAAGAAGAAAGAAAAATGCATTTTGATAAAAATGGGTGTCAAATGGGTGCCAAACAGGGCCTAAAATGCATTTTGATAAAAATGGGTGTCAAATAGGGCCTAAATAGGATGTTCCAGGACTTGGAAGATGGAATGTCATCAGATGGAAACCCTAAAAGCATGGCTTTGGGTGCAATCTTATGTACAAAATTTTGTTAGCAAAGTGGTATATTCCCTCTCACAAAATTAGCAGATTTTATGTGAATTTAAAAAATGTTAGTCTTGTGGTTTCCATGCCAAGGGAGTTTGAAGTTCGTACCCATTTAGCAGGACACTAACTGGGCCGCTGCCAATTAAGAAGCCCATTCACCTTTCTAATGCGAAAAGGTTTTGGGCTAGAATTAACCCGAACGAATATTCTGCCCCATTTGAGAGAGCGAAAATTAAGTAGTTTTGGCATACATTGTAAATTAATTTTTAGAAGAAATTTTTTACTTTGGAAATGTTTTAGAGGAATTAATTAGGATTTGTTTTCTTCAAAAATTCTTTTAATTAGAAGTATATATTTGTAAAACTAATTAAACGAGTTTAAAAGCAATGTTTGGTAGATTGGAGTGGGCAGACTTATATAATATATAAATGAATTAACAAAATAGGTCAAAAATGAGACGAAAAACGAGTCAACCCATGAGTTATATCAGCTTGAGAGCTCGTGGGCCTCATGAGCCTATCAGTTTTGACTCCTAGAAATAATATAAGCTTGATTCGATTAATGATTTGTCGCAAAATGAGTTGGAACTCGAGTCGAGTTTGAGAGCCGCTCGAGTCATTTGCAATCTTTAGATTAATGTTTTCTGATATAGCAGGTATTGGTTATGCTTGAACATTTTATCCCGAGGACCTTTCATAGCTTTCCCTTGCAGTTTCACCATTTGTTGTGCTCGAGCATGGACCTCCCTTGGATACAATGTTGGGGAGCTGCAATGCTCGAGCACAAGCAAACCTTAAGATATCCACGTTTCATGATCCACGTCCTCGAGCATGATTAGTCCTCGGGATAGATTCCCCTCGTAATCTACGATTGTTATTATTGACCCAATAGGATTCCTATGCAATTGGGACTTTGACTCTACCATACTACTTTAATACTTGACTCTCGCAAAGATTCTATCTTAAACGTAATTGCGGTATAGGACTCTGTGAGATAGATATACCCAGCTAGTTGAGTCCATTAGGAGAACGCCACCCACCTGTATAAATACAGAATATTGAGTCATTATTCAGGTACATTTTCATTATTTCCCGTTTATAGTCTCACGAATATAATTTTCTTTCTAACTTCAACATCGGAGAAGCGACGAGAACACACCCCATTGCCTTTGTTTAAAGTACCAAAAGACTACGATCATACTCATTTAAAGTCCTCAAGTTCAGGAAATCAAAATGTACGATTTTTTATAGCATCATTTTCCATTCACATAAAAGGGTTTGTGCACAAGTTGCACAATTGTTAGCTCATAAAAGAATAACGTAGTGAAATTGAATTGTCAAAAGTATATATAACCAATATTAAAATTGGTGGACTATACATATTTGGAATTGAATGCATGAGGTACGATTTATGCGAGTTAACTTTAATTTACTCTAGTCACATGTCTTCAATTTAGCGTAATCAACTCATCAAACATCTATTCACTTGTAAATTCAGTAATTTTGTCCATTATTGTCGGTTTAACTAATCAATGGTTAATTTTGACGTTGAAATTCTGAATAGATGACGTAAAAATGCGCTTCTAATTTATGAAGTTTTAAAAAAATATATTATTTCAAAAATGGATGATATGTATTGTTGTGTGACGCGACAATTCATAAAATGACCAGATCTGCAAACTAATCAAAGTTGGATAAACAAATTGAAGTTCGATGATCTGATTGTATCAAATTGAAGAAGAGTGACCTAAATGCACATCTAATGAAAGTTGGTGTCCCAAAGTGCATTGAACCCCATTTAGGTTCATATTATCAAATAGTGATAAAAAAATAGCCTTTGCCAATTCTCTTTTGAAATTATAGTCTTGTTTGATTTCATTCTTTTTAAAATATATTTTTCTCTTTACTCTTTTCAACCATACATTTTTTCATAAAATAATATTACGCGCAAATTTAAATATTTTAAGTTTATTTTTACTACGCATTCTTCATCAATATACTATTCCAAAATATTTTTTTAGCCAAATAATGGGACTCGAGCAAGGGGATAATCGAAGGAGATTTTGCAATGCGCGTCTATCTATTAAGTGTTGAGTACGTGCAAAATCAATGTATTGAATATGTTTTGAGACAGATTTGTTAATGGTAGCCAAATATGTATCATAGCCACAACATTCCAAAGGATTTTGCTATTTGTTTAGAAATATAATAAAAAAAGCGATTGAAATGACGTGGAAGAGAGAGATTATATGAAAAAGCACGTGTTTTAAACAGATAAATAATAAAGTAATATGTAACATTATTTAAAGTATTATATAAATTTGATGTACATGTAAATGCAGCATTGTCCCATTCCAAATTCTTCAAACAAATGGACAATACCTTGTAAGTTTGCACATACAGCTGTCCCACAACCCATATTAATTGCTAGATTCATACAAACTTTCTCGTAATCTCACTGGAACTTGATGATTGACAAGTGCAGATTATTAGACTTTTATGTTGTCTCGACTAAGATCAGTCGAGTATGTACTTTTGATACACTTAAAAATATGTGTTACTACTTACTTACAATGTACAATAAATTGACCCGAGCCCACTGTAACAAGGGCTATTTACGATTTTGTTTGCGCAATTTATCTTACCAATGTTGTTAGGACATGTTTTCACGGAACAATTCATAATATTGGAAACATTTTATCAACCAATCAAGTTGATCGTTTATTAATAAATTGTGTTATTTTCATGCACGCCCAACTATCTAGTATTATCTAGTATTTATAGGCACCCCATTTAGTGCTTGTTTGGGAAATCTTAATAAGTTATTAAAAAGTTGAGATCAAAGAACTCAATTAATTTTAATCATACATTTATGAGATCTACATCTTTTTATCGATTTTTTAATCACGCATTTCATCAATTTTTATCAAAGTCTTTAATTTTCTTTTTATCAAAATCTTTAATTTTCTTTTTATCAAAATCGTTATCAAACAACTCCAAAATTATATGCATAGTGAAGTGAAATTACCATTAAAATTAAATCCTAAGTCCCCAATCAATGTAAAGTATGTGTTGATCTCCAAAAATGGCTCCAACGGGTTCCCTAACCTCGCCCCCTCGAAACCTACGCAAGTAGCACCCCGTCAAGAGGCAAAGACGACCGTACATGAAAAGGATCCGGCGATTGTTTGCACTCCCACAGTCAAGTCAACGGCCGGACGGAGATAGATATATAGAGTGCAATAGTATGGAGATGGAGGTTTGGCTAGAGAGTGTAGAACATACCTTGATTGTGTGACTTGAATCCATATATAGAGAAATGGATGTGAAGCGGGCCAAACGGGTTAGTGGGCCTAAGTCTGAACCCAATACGAGGTGAGCAAAATAATAGGCGCTTCGGCTAGACTTCTTAGGGCCTCGGCTACGCCTTGGTTGGCCTTGTCAGAGCCTTGACTTTAGGGCCCAACACTAATGGGTCTGGCTCGGGTCCAATAAGATGACCCAATATGGAGTGATAATTTATAGGTATAACAGTAGCCCCCAAGTTCGAGTCGTATTATTTATATGCGGGTCGGACTTGAAATATAAACTCAGGAGTAGGAGAGGTCTTACAGATTGCCTCAGAAAGATAGGTAGCTCCAATAAGTGATGGCTTACGGACTGCCTCGAAAATATACATTGATCTCGAATAGGCGAGGGCTTACGAATTGTCTCAAGAAATATGAGTTGCTCCAATAAGTGAGGACTTACGAACCGCCTCAAAAAATGTGTGTCAGAATAAGCGAGGGCTTACGAATTGCCTCAAAAGATGTACTGCACATATTTTTTGAAAATTTCGGCAGCATCCCCCCTGTAATATGAACTAAACCTATCTTGTAATACAATACAATATATCCACAACACATATACCAAATAAATTTGGGGTCCATTTGCCCCTTCAAATGCTCGTAAGGTGTAATATATCACATTTCTCCAAAATATGTGCAAAGGGTCTGTCATGCATTATAATAAATTATGTGCTCGCATAGCTCAGTGTATCGATAGTGCTATAGTGAAGCAAGTAACATGATATTGACAATGAAATGAAAATGATGATAATACGACATACGTACTGGCTGAAATGAAAATAATGTATGACATGGTAACAGTGATATGACATGACATTCATGCTTGAAAGCAGTAATGTGATGCGTATGCTAGTAGTAATATGTAGTCCCCCAAGTCCGAGTCGTATTATTTATATGCAGGTCGGACTTGAAATGTAAGCTACTGTGATAAAGTTGATATAGAGGCGATGCTTTGAATGTAAGTAGCATAGGCGACAAGGGCGATGCGTTGGATGCAACAGTAATGCTCTGATTGTAGTAGCAGAGGCGATGCTTAGGACATAGTAGCAGAGGTGAAGCTCTGGATGTAGTAGCAGAGGCGATGCTTTGATAGCAGAGGCTGTGCTCTAGACTGAATATAAGTAGCTGTACTAATACTGAATCATATTGATGTATACCAGCTGTTGACTTTTTAATATCAGCTGAGTATATGG